ATTGACCTTGGTGTTGTTTGTAAGAACTTAATTAGTGGGGTATGCATACTAAATATGAAGTTGTTATCTCCTATGGTTCAAAAGTTATGGCAAAAAGTAGAAAAAGCTATTTTCAGTATAAAGGTCAGCGTTAAGGTCACATGGTCATTGACCTTGGTGTTGATTGAAAGAACTTTATTAGTGGAGTATGCATACTAAATATGAAGTCCCTATCTCTTATGGTTCAAAAGTTATGGCAAAAAGTGGAAAAATCTATTTTTAGCATATAGGTCACAGTCAAGGTCACAAGGTCATTGACCTTCATGTCATTTGAAGGAACTTTATCAGTGCAGTATGCATACCAAATATGAAGTCTCTATTTCCTATGGTTCAAAGGTTATGGCAAAAAGTGGAAAAAGCCATTTTTAGTATAAAGGTCACAGTCAAGGTCACCTTTTTAGTGAAGTATGCATACCAAATATGAAGTCCCTATCTCCTATGGTTCAAAAGTTATGACCAACACTTGAAAAACCTATTTTTAGCATATAAGTCACAGTCAAGGTCACAAGGTCATTGACCTTGATGTCATTTGAAAGAACTTTGTTAGAGGAGTATGCATACCAAATATGAAGTCTCTATCTCTTACGGTTCAAAAGTTTTGGCCAAGGTTAAACTTGACAACAGACAAACAGACAAACAGACAGGACAATAGGGCTGTATCAATATATCGATATATCGATACATATCGATATTAAAGAAAAATATCGTATCGAAAAGCAACTTCCAATACGTATCGGACAAACATTTTTTCTTCAAATTCTGTTTAAAAGAAGGGAATTTCAATCACCAAAGATTATAATTTACTTTTTTGAATTGAAACCTTCAATAATTATATAATTTCTGAGAAAATAACAGTTTTTATAATTATCAGAATTTATTTGATTGGTTAATTTTCATTTGCTGAATTTGATGTTGATTTTATCGTCATCAAAAGTCTTAATTGAACTGTTGTTTTTAAAGACAATGACACAAGAACTCTAAAATGGGTAATAAAACACTTCATTGTAATGAAAAGTATTCATCAAAATGATTTAGAAGCCTTTTCTGATGGACTTGTTTCAGAATCCAATATATCGGATATCGCTTTAAAAAATATTGTATCGTATCGTATTGAAATTTTTGGCTCAATACACAGCCCTACAGGACAAAAACAATATGCGCCCCGAAAAAATTCGGGCGCATAAAAAAAAACATTGCATGCTGGGAAACACCTTGAATTCTTATGAGTAATTTATGTACATGTCAAATGTAAGAGTCATATCTCATCTCAATCAAAAATTATAAGCAAATGCAATATTTTTGAAAAGTAGGTTAGGCTTGATCGCTTCAAGGTCAAGGTCACAGTGTAAAAGTATTTGGAAAGGTCTTATCACAGGTAATAATAAACATGCATTATGATATGAATGCCCTAACTTTTCTCTTTCAAAATGATGAATTTATAACAACTTAATTTTTTTGCAAGTTGGTCAAACTTCTAGGTCACATGTAAAAAAAAAAAAAACCATGCCATTAATTCTCACTGGTAAATATACTAATAATAAGTTTAATATGAATGTCTCTTCTCATTCAGTAGATATGACCGTGATAACCAAGATTAAATTTTTTGAGACAGATGGACTGAGTCTGACATACAAATGTACATATTTCTATATGAATTGGGTAAAATTGGCCCAGTGGTTCTAGAGAAGTTAAAAATGTAAAAAGTTTTCAGACAAACAGATGGACAACACGTCACGACAGACATTATATGCTAAGGAAACAAAAAAAGCTCAAATGAGTGTTTTGAAAGGGTTACAATATGGTTGGAGTATTTGAAAAGCTGTTTTTTTTCCTGCAGAGATATGCATGACCAACATATTTATGTTTTATATTTTCTTTAGTAATTTGTTTGTTTGTTGTGAATACATCTTCCCTCATATGGAGACACCACCAAATAATAATGAAGATAAGATGTGTTTGTGAAACACTGATGTCCCAGTATGGAAGCCTATGGCGAAGGTTGAAGTTTCTCAAACTGTCAAACTCAAAGGTCAAGGGTTCAAATTGTTAGTATCAGAAGAAAGTCTTGTCACAAGGAATGCACATGTGAAATAAAGAAATCTCTAGTAATTCCTGTTCAAAAGTTAATTGCCAAGGTAATTTTTTTTTTTAAGTGGTTAAAACTCTAGGGTCAAGGTCAAACATATTTATACCTGTTGACAGTTCAAAATGAATACAATATGTCATGATAAGTATGAAAGCCCTAGCACCTACTGATCAAAAATTAGGCAGAGTTTAAAGTTTGGTATTTTTCTTGTAAAAATGTGTATCCCATGTCAAGCGATCAGAGGTAAAAATTAATGGTACCCAAATAAAAGGTCTTATTAAATTGTCACAAGAAATAAACCTATAAAATGTGGAAGCTATATGTATAGCCCAATGCATCCCACTTAAAACTTATGGGCAAGCTAGCTAGGATTTAATTTTTGCAGACTTATAGACAGACATACTATAAACACAAGAAACAAAATATGTATAATAATTAGTCAAATGGAAAAAAAATATACTATTAAACTGGAATCACAAAATAGATTGTTATTTCAGGGACAGGAAGTGGGTAGGAACATTGGAAACCCCCCCCCCCCCCCCATCTGGCATTTGCTTTGTTATTTAAACAAGACTATATACTGTAGCAAGTAAAAAATGACTCTTGACATCCTCTCCCTATAAACTTAGAAAACATTGACCTCACTATCATTGTTTTTTTATTTGTTTTCATTTTTTTTCTCCTGCTTGTCACGAAATTCTGGGCTGGGATTTTTTGACTGAGATGTGAACCCCCCTCCCTACTCCCGAAAAAAATTCTGGATCCGCACCAGTATTGGGAGTAACTGAATGTCACATCGACAACGGGAGATAACTTCACAATATGAAATTCGTCTAGTGTGGCATGGGATGATCTTTGACCCTTTTTAAACTTTAACCCAATCGTTGACTTCTACTTACCGACTCCCTGTGTCTCGTAAACTTCATGAAATATAAATCCAATTATAACACAAAATGAATTAATCCAATGCACACCAGACTGCAACCATGTGCCATTTTGGCGAACTTTCGTCGATTCCGTCACCTTATCAGATGAAGTGGGAATCGGCCGAGGTGTGCCAAATGGTGTTTAATCTATAAATATCATAATGGGTGACGCAACGTGATGTAATGTAGAAATTTACATGTTCACATGTATAGTACATGAACAAATTTTAAATTCATTCATTACAAACGATATTAAATTTTAACAAACCTTTTCCATCTAGCCTATTCCAAAAAGTATGTGCTGTGTGATTGTGGTGTCGAGGGGGGGGGGGGGGGTAGTAAATTTAAAAAGGTCCTATTATGAGCAAAACATATATCAAAATCTAATTTCAGACGCGGATCCAGAATTTTTTTCCGGGGGGGGGGGGGATCCACCTCAGTAAAAAAAAATCCTATCCCAGAAATTGACAATAAAAAAAACCTAAAGTAAATCTCACCCAAACGTCAAAAACCTATATCGTGGAGGTGGGGTGGGGGTAGTGGTGACTTCTATTGCCGCAAATGTTTAACTTTTCATACCTATTTTACACATATTCGTGTTTACCAGGGGGGGGGGTCTGCATTTTCCAAGGGGGGTCCATTTTAACTTTTTCCTTGTTTTAGTGTATACATTTTTTAACCTTGTAAATTCCAGGGGGGGGGGGGGGTCCTGATCCCCCCCCTCCCCCCCAGTCAGATCCGTGCATGAATTTACATCATTAATAAAATTCAGACTGGTATATAATGAATTAAGCATGTATAAAATAAATATAAGACGTTCTGAGTTATAGGTCACAGGGTCTGAGAATTTCATAATCAATTTGATTAATACATGTAAATTATAGAATTATTTTGACTATTTCCTTGGAAAGTCGCCCAATATGTAGGAGCGTGTATTTACAGGCAAACACCTTAGTGCGGGTATTACTGTCTCATGACAGCATCTAGTATATTTTTGTAGCAAAGCCCATGTCTCCCAGTTGATTTGATACGCAAGAGAACGCTCTATGTGCCAACAATTTCTAAAACGAGGCAAGCTATTTCAAACCAGAAGTCTCTGTCGAGACTGTAGCTCTACTGTTTTGTACTTATATCAAAGGAAAAGTATCAGTTGGATTTGAAACTTTGCAACAGCAATAAACAGAATAATGATCCTTGATTTAGTCTCCTTCTTGTGGCAAGACTGCAATAAGACTAGAACTGTAGGAGTAGCCTTTTAAAAGAATCTTACAGAAATTTCAATTTTAGTTCCCATGGGAACATCATTCGTCTCTGACCAGTAGAGCTAAAAATAAGTTGATGAAACAAGAATATCTACAGTCTCCGTTAAATTCAACATTTTGCAATTTCTGGTACATACACTAACCTTGTCAGTAAATACAGTCTATCATTAATTTGAATACAGACTGGAGTTTTTCATACAAATAATTGCTGGACCATTTTTTATGCGCTGAATTGTCCACGGATTTTCCATTTTTCTGATTATGACAAGAAGTACACAGCAGATATGACAGGGGATGCTTTCTACTCCATGGCACCTAATCCCATATTTGATTTTATAAAGGCCAGTGTTTGCTCTACTCCCAAATTTTATAATTTCAATGGACTTTTGAGCTTGAGTACTGTTTGTTATCTTCATACCAGGTATCTTATTTCATAACTTAAGCAATTTTTTATTTATGTGTAGCCATCAATTCATTTGATATGATCTCTTCTTTCCTTCCCAAAAGTAGGGGCCACAGAGAAGTATTTTTACATGCCAGGACCAAAGAGCAAGTAACTGTGGTCTGACTTGTCAATGTCAGGTTACACTGACAATAGGTAAAAAATCAAAATTTCTTTCAACAATATTGCCCATCAATGAGTATAGCTATACACCAGAGTTTACATTAATGAAAATAGGACATGTCTGAAAATATACTTTTTATCTTTTATGAATTAACAATATTGCACAAAAAGAGTTTCAAATCACAAATGCTACAAACTGTTGATGTTTCTTATAACAATGAATATTAGCTGCCATAATATTTCTCACAACTTCTTCTTTCTGCCATTGTGAGCAATATCTGATTTTAAAAATATATGATGTTTGTCCTTTGAGTTTGAGGCTTCAAATTGAAACCCATGGAGTCCATTTCATCCCTCTGGGGGGTCAAAGTTCTGTAGAAATACTAGTTTTTGTGGTTGCAGCTTTTCTCTGCAAATTGGACACTCAAGCTGAAAAAAAAGACAGTTAAAGGTCATCATTCTGTTTCAGTGTTCTTGTTTGCTTAAACTTTGAACTTTGTAAAAAAAAAAGGGTATTAAAAAAGTTGTAACTTTAAGTGGTCATTTTGACATGATTTGTTACACAGCAGCACATCTTGACAAATAGTTTATACTTCAAACTAGTTTTATTCAAGACTGTCACAACACTTTTCGCTGATTTGATATTCATCTAGGACAATATGTTTTCATGACAGCATGAGGAAACATTCAATTAAATAATTTGTTCATAACATTTGTTAATTAAGACACTTGTACACATTTCTCAATGGATGAGAATAAATGTTGGTTAACAGTAAGGCTTATTTTACTGTACATAAATTACCTTAGTAGAGCACCATTCGTAGATACACTGCCAGCAGAACAAATGGCCACAAGGTGTCGCCGTGGGTTTCCTCCGGGTCTCCAGACACAAACAACACTTCCTGTCCGCAGCATCACTTGTTGTCTTAGACCTGAAAAGGTTTCATTAATTATACTCAATCAAAGTTTCCTCATTTTTGAAATTCAAAAAAAATAACGTGGTAGGGTTATTATTTACAAATAACAAATTTACATATCAGGTTGTCTGTATAGTAATATAAATTGAATGTTTTTAATATAAATCCTTTTTGAATTTCAATGTAGTTGTAGTTTTTGAAGTTCATGTAGAAAATTTTTCTAGATTGTCACTATATGCCCTATATTGTAAGAATTTCAAATTTGTAGCCATAGCCTTTTTTTTGATTATCTAAAATACTCTTTACCTTGGGAAAAGTTTCAGTGAAGTTGGACCAGTGTTACAGAAGAAGATGAAAAGTTCATGAAAAATGACTTTGAGCCCTTGCCTAAGGTGAGCTCAGCTACCAATATTCCAAACCAAAACATTTAAAATGCCGTATTTATTTGATGATTATATTAATCTATAATTCACTTCTACCTGACTTCTGTGTTAGAGGTGAATGATCCAGAAGATTTGTAACCATGATACAACAGTTGTAACACACTGAAGCCAAGCTGTGCCAGTGACAACCAGCCCAGAGCACTGAAACTCTGCTGAACACTGGATCCATCAGTATTGGGTAAGCTGAACTTGATCTGTTATAAATGTTAACATAGTAATATCAAACATTGGCTACCTGCTAAAAGAATGAATAAAGAAATATTGAAAATTCTTAATTCTACAAAATAAAATGAACACTATCCTAAGCTGATTTTTTGTCACACAATAGTCTCATTATCTAATTTATGCTGTCTGAATGAGTAAATCAATATTAAATACAATATTTTGCTTTCAAATCAAGATGCTTTTAACAGATATTGGTATTTCTATGACTGTAAGTAAACTTACATAGCTGACTCCCGTCAGTCGTTTGGCGATGTGATAAAACACACCCCTGAGATAAAACACTGCCAGATGAAATCTCTGGAGAAGTGACATCGCTTGTTGAAGAACAGGAAGTGATTTTAGAATAAGCTCCCTTGTTTCCTTGGGAATGCTGTCCCATTCTCCTGACTTTATTTTCTTTTCCATCCAATCCAGTAGACGGATAACTGCGTAGGGACCAAATACATGGAGGGAAACCATAATCAATCTTTTCTATAGATAAAGAAATTACAGTTATATTTCTTTTTTCAGGATCTTGTATGATACTCTGTATGGCCAATCTTTGTAGAAAATTAAATAGGCTGGGAAATGTTGTGATGATAAAAGCTGTGATAGTTGCTTGCAATAAGTAATACTACTACATAATGCTACTGTAAATTTGTTGATTTGAAATTTTTTCATTATTTAGGAATAAAATGATACTATCATTTAATATTTGATTTCTTGTTGTGGATTATTTGAACAGTTATTTAATGACTGTGTGTTCAGGTCCTACTCTCCAGTATTTTCAAGGTTACAAGTACTTTACAAATGGGTCTGAAACTTTTCACATGTATAAAATGAACATGCCATTACATGTGTATAACATTTACCCAATGAAATGGAGACTAAAATAGAAATATCTATACATATATGGCTGCCATTGTCAAATATTTACCAGTTTTGATGGTAGGTTTCGTCTTTGTTTATCTATCTGTATGATGTTGACATATTCTTCCCCAACTGTCTGGTATCCTAAATTACAATTTTTTTATGTAAACATGAAAATATATTATTTTTGTTCCTTAATATTCAATTTCATTGATTGGAAAGCATTACCTGCAACTGTTGTAAGCAAGAAATATGTGACCTCAGCAACTCGATCAACTTCATTTTTCCATCTGATCCATACCCCAGGACCTGTGGAGATAAAAAAAATTACAATTTATCTCATGGCATATAGAGGTTTAAACTGGTTGATGGTTATAATTTGAAAAGCCCAACATTAGAGAAAGCGAAAACAAACTTCTTATATTCATTTTCAGCTGAGTAGCTTATTTTGAAACTGATGATTTAATGACATATTGAAAATGGTACATGTACTGCATTACCACATCCTTTCAATTCAAAATGTGTATCTTTAAATTGTTAAGAATCTAATACAATTTTGCCCGACAAGACTGACATAATTATTAGAAAAAGTTAATCAAATGATTGCAGACAAGACCTTCAATGTTGTTGTATAAATTGATAGTGGTATTTGCCTTGAAAGAACTACAATGATTAGGATACGTCAATATTAATCTAGAATTCAAAAAAAAATTTTTTTTTCAATAACCATCTTTCAATGAATACAAATATTGTAGATTTGTAACTATAACCTTATATATTCAAAGCGAAAATATAAAAAAACAGAAGACACAAGACATGTCATTAAATTTAGGACGGTGTGGAAAGAAAGAACATTATCAGTCGATTCAGTGATTGTATGTATCTGACCATACAACAATACTTTTTAATTACAAACCAAATATTTCTTGAAAAATCTCAGATACGGAATTTTTCAAATAACCAGTGTAAATGTCATCTTTTTGATGAGATCTGAGGATTTCCGCGACACCTGCAGGTTGTCTCATTTTGTTAAACCAAAGAAATGATAAAATGAAAGTAGGGTGTATGTAAAAGTAGGATGTTGGAAAAAAAACTCGTTTTACCGTATTGCAAAAAAAAAAAAAAAATGAATAAATGTCTTTCACAAACAATGACCTTGTGTTTTAAATTTTAAAAATCCACACAATTTATTTTATAATTCTTTTCCAGCAAGAATTATGTATTTTTTTTTAATAGGAATTAGTATCGTTTTACCCCAGTATTACCCTAACCTCATGTGCCGTGGGTAAACATGGAAGACTTGAACAGTCTGGCATCATGTCTAGGTGTATCTGCTGGAAAACTTGTGATAGATGCTAAAGAACAGGTAATATTGAAAATGTCAGTTTAAAAAAACAGTACTTGATTTTATTCCTTTAGGGGTGAGTGTAACTTAAAGAAAAACCTTACAAAGTTGTAACACATGTGCCCAAGTTGACAGAGAGAAGCAGATCAGATGGATAGAAGGACTATTTCAAGTTCATTATTTCTAGCTCAAATGAGCTAAAGGCTCAAAAGGGTTTTTTTTCTGATCGAATGGCGTCCGTGTCTGTTGTATGTTGTCTTTTGTCTCTGATCTTTTCACTTTTTTTTTCTAAGTACTCAAGACCCATGCACTGGCCTTATCAGACCAATGTTGACTGGATCAGTATTTCACAATCAAAGTTGAGGCACGTTTTACATGGAATATATAGGAACATGTCTTCATAAGAACTGCAGAGGTTTTATAAGTCATTAATATAAGTTATTAATTTATATGAACATGTTCTCGCACCATTGTATAGAAGTGTAACAGGAGAGGAGAAAAAAGCAGTGGACCAGACCTGGATTTGAACCCTGGCCCCACGAATCTCCGATGGTATGCTCTACAGAAACATTCTCTCTCCTTAAAGGTCTACAGTCCCCAGACCAGACCGGGATTCAAACCCGGGCACCCTGAACATGCTGAATGTCCTTTCAGGTGCTCTACTAGCAGGGGTGAGTGAACCTGGCTGACCGCCACAATCCTCCCTCCTTAAAGGTCTTTGGCCCTCCAAAGACCCCAACCTAGGCTAATCCCTGGCAGGCCTCTCACCTGTCAGTTCCAGGGCATGGCACGGCACCAAATGTAATGGGAGAGGAGAAAAAATGCAGCGGACCAGACCGGGCGGGATTCAAACCCGGGCCTTCTGAATGTCTGGTCAGGTGCTCCACAAAGTGAGCTATATCTGGCCACCGGCAATTGAACCTGGCTGACTACCACAGAAGCAAGTTGTTCAAATCATAGCCATCTTCAGTTAGTGTAGTTTTAAATTTTCTCAAACAATGAACCCTCCCTTGCCCTTCCTTTGGTTGGAAAAAAGTGAGACCAATTTTATATTTTAACTTTTTCAATGCTCAAAAGATTTTTTTCAAGCCAAAGAGCTCAGGTGAGCAATGTGGCTCATGTGCCTCTTTTTTTCTTTTTTCAGGTACCTGTGCTTAAAGCAGGGAATGGCGTTACAGTCAGAGGACTTGTATCTGTAGCTAAACACCTGGTTAGACAGTCTGACTGCCCTGAATTAAAAGGTTAGTGCCTCAGCTCTAGGGGTAATATCCAATTGCTTTGGCAAAGTAAAGTTTCAGTTTAGGCAAGTGTTGAGTCTGTGAAACAATCTTGTCCAAGCAAGCTGCTTCAGTGTAAAATATTTTTTGTCCTTAAACAGAATGAATCATACTCTACAATCTCATATGCATGAAGGTTTTAGGTCAGCTTCATTATACCCCCTGCTTGAAAAGTGGGAGGGTATATAGTAATCAGTAATTCTGTCCGTCTGTCTGTACGTCCGTCCATCTGTTACGCTTTATCTCTTATCCGCAACTCCTCTTATACTACTGAGTGAAATTTAATGAAACTTTCACAGAATCTTTATTACATGTTGCCATTGTGCACCTCCTATTTTACTTTTTTATTCGACATGTATTTTAAGTTTCCCAAACAAAACATGGACATTGCCATTATATGTTTACCTATGACATCACATATAGAAGCTTCTGGATAACATTTGATAAGACGAGTTATTCCTCTTTACACATTACTGTAAAACAATATATACATGTAGCAATACATGGACATTATGGGAGGCGGGGGGTATCATTTAGTGAGCTCAATGCGCACAGTACCTCTAGTTTTGTTATTCTTTGCAATTGAATTTCAAAGAATGAAATCTGCTCACATTATATCATGTACAATGAGAGCTAGAATAATCAATCATTATTTTTCTATATAGCTTGGGGGAAAATGTCTTGAAGCCAAAATTTATATCAAGATGACCCATTTTGAATTTTATCAAGATTTTCTCCCCATCTCCTCATCTGCATATAAGTATCACTCTAGTTTAGTTGAATCAATGGGTAATCAGTATTTCTACTACCCCAATAGGTGCACAAAAAAATTTGTTGATTGATGCACATGTATCTTTGGACATGGCGCATCATGGTTAAACACTAGTAAATCACATGATTTTCGATTTTTTATAATTATGGTGGACCTGTACATTATTGTAAATTCAAAATGTGTTTGTGAACATGCATGTCTTTGATAAAATCTTTTTGCAGTTGAATTTTACTTGATTAATATGACTGGGCTATAAACTAAGATTTTTTTTAATTTAGGGAGATCTCCCGAGGAGAGAGCGGCCATTGATCAGTGGTTAGAGTACAGGGTCACACAAGTGGACAAGAGCCTTCATGATAAAGATATTACAACAGTACTCAAGGTAATTTTAATGCATATAGAGGAAATATTTACATGACAAAATGAAACTAGAGTCTCCATGGTAAAGATATTACAACTGTACTCAAGGTTATTGTAATACACACAGACTGGAGGAATGTCTGACAAACTAAAACCAGCTAGTCTATACAGATACTTTATTAATGTACATTTCCCAATACATGTACTAGTTTATTTCTGGAGCATGGATGTTTGTCTTTGGTAGCTTTGACAAATTCATTTGAGAGAGAAAAAAGTAAGACCAAAGTTTGGTTTTAGATACCCCTAGCTAGCTGCACGTACCCAGTCAAATTGAGATACCCCCTCCCTGGTTGCTGCTAAACATACCTTTAGTAAATTTTTAGCTCTACTGGTCAGAGACCAGAAGAGCTTATGCGATAGTAAGGTGTCCGTCGTCTGTCCGTCTGTCTGTCTGTCTGTCTGTCTGTCTGTCTGTCTGTCTGTCCGTCTGTCTGTAAACAATTTTTCAAAACGCTACTCCTCCTACAGTTTTGGTCCGATTTCAATATAACTTGGCACACAAGTATACTACACTAAGATACATAAAATAGTGCATTGGTTTTTGATTTTGATGAACGGTGTTGCCATGGTTACTAAAAATAGAAATTTCTGTGAAATTCATTTAAAACGCTACTCCTCCTACAGTTTTGGTCTGATTTCAACATAACTTGGCACACAAGTATACTACATTAAGATACATAAAATAGTGCATTGGTTTTTGATTTCGATGAACAGTGTTGCCATGGTTACTAAAAATAGAAATTTCTGTGAAATTCCTTTAAAACGCTACTCTTCCTACAGTTTTTCTGATTTCAATATAACTTGGCACACAAGTATACTACACTAAGATACATAAACTAGTGCATCGGTTTTTGATTTTGATGAACGGTGTTGCCATGGTTACTAAAAATAGAAATTTCTGTGAAATTCCATTAAAACGCTACTCCTCCTACAGTTTTGGTCTGATTTCAATATAACTTGGCACACAAGTAGACTACACTAAGATACATAAACTAGTGCATCGGTTTTTGATTTTGATGAACGGTGTTGCCATGGTTACTAAAAATAGAAATTTCTGTGAAATTCCTTTAAAACGCTACTCCTCCTACAGTTTTGGTCTGATTTCAATATAACTTGGCACACAAGTAGACTACACTAAGATACATAAAATAGTGCATCGGTTTTTGATTTCGATGAACGGTGTTGCCATGGTTACTAAAAATAGAAATTTCTGTAAAATTTCTTTAAAAAGCTACTCCTCCTATGGTTTTGGTCTGATTTCAATATAACTTGGCACACAAGTATACTACACTAAGATACATAAAACAGTGCATCAGTTTTTGATTTCGATGAACGGTGTTGCCATGGTTACTAAAAATAGGAATTTCTGTGAAATTTCTTTAAAACGCTATTCCTTCTACAGTTTTGGTCTGATTTCAATATAACTTGGCACATAAGTAGACTACACTAAGATTCATAAAACAGAGCATCGGATTTTGATTTTGATGAACGGTGTTGCCATGGTTACTAAAAATCGAAATTCCTGTGAAATTCCTTTAAAACGCTAATGCTCCTACAGTTTTGGTCTGATTTCAATATGACTTGGCACACAAGTAGACTACACTAAGATACATAAAATAGTGCATTGGTTTTTGATTTCAATGAACGGTGTTGCCATGGTTACTAAAAATAGAAATTTCTGTGAAATTCCTTTAAAACGCTACTCCTCCTACAGTTTTGGTTTGATTTCAATATAACTTGGCACACAAGTATACTACACTAGACAACACTAAGATACATAAACTAGTGCATCGGTTTCTGATTTTGATGAACGGTGTTGCCATGGTTACTTCACATAGAAATTTTTTTAAAATCCTTTAGAACACTACTCCTCCTACAGTTTTGGTCTGATGGCAATGGCTTCTTTTCTCATCCTTTGTTATAAGTACAAACCAGTAGAGCTACAGTCTCGACAGAGACTTCTGGTTTAAACTACTAATTAAAAATTTTACTTTTCAACAATTATAATGACCCTTTCCTCCCATTTTACTAGTTGTTCTATCTTTAGCAGTAGAAGAAAACATTGCCTCCATATTTAATAGATGCTGTTTTTTTTCTAGGAAACCAACACATACCTCTCAAACCATGTATACTTTGTTGGGTATCAGCCCTCAATAGCAGACATCATTCTGTACCTTGGATTATTTAGGATATTTGTGAGTATTGTTTTTAATCAAAGTTGGCATAGCATCCTTGGGTGAA